GGAATGGACTGTGTTTTACTATGAGGTACACGGTTGATTATTCGGTTAGCTGTAAGTATAGCTTCCCCCCACAAGTTCTGTGGTAAGCCAGAACTTATTAGCAATGCATTCATCATCTCCTTCAACGTTCGATTCTTCCTCTCCGCAATTCCATTAGATTGTGGAGAGTAAGGGGCAGTTGTTTGGTGAATAATGCCATTTTCCAAACATATTTCTTCAAAAGGAGATTCATATTCGCCACCCCTATCACTTCTTATCATTTTGATCTTTTTATTTAGTTGCGTTTCAACTTCACTCTTGTATTGCTTGAAAGCATCAATTGCCTCATCTTTACTATTAAGTAAATAACCATAGCAGTATCTCGTGCTATCGTCAATAAAAGTAATAAAATACTTTTTCCCACCACGAGATGGTGTTGACTTCATGTCGCAAATATCTGTGTGAATTTAGTCTAAAGGACTTGAATTCCTTTCAACGGACTTATAAGGATGCTTAGCATACTTTGATTCCACACATATTTGACATTTGGAATTAATGCAATCAAATTTTGGCAATACTTATAGATTTATCATCTTTCATAATGTTTTGAAGTTTACGTGACCTAAACGCGAATGTCATAAAGTGTTTGACTCAAGCAAGTAAGAAGAAGCATTCACTTTATTGATAGGAAGTGCTATTACATTTAGCTTAAAAAGGCCCTCATTCAGGTAACCTTTTCCTACATACATATCATTCTTACTTAGTACAACACTATTGGAAACAAAACTACATTTGAATCCATTCTTGACAAGAAGTGAAGTCGACACAAGATTCTTGCAAATTTCTGGAACATGGAGTTGGTTTAGAGTCACTATTTTTCCCGACGTCATCTTCAACGCAATCTTGCCAACTCCTTCAATTTTGGCTGTAGACGAATTTCCCATGAAAATTGTCTTGTCGGGTCCTGCGGGGGCATAAAAAGAAAATAACTCCTTGTTAGCACAAACATGGTGGGTGGCTCCAGAATCTATCCACCATTCTTTAGGATTTCCTACCAAGTTGCATTCAGACAATATGACACACAAGTCCTCCATGTCTTCAACATTTTCAACCATGTTTGCTTGATTTTTCTTCTTCTTTTTCTTTTGTACATCATTCTTTGGTGCACGACAATCCACGACCTTATGCCCAGATTTTTCACAGTTGTGGCAATTACCCTTGAACTTTTTCTTGCTTGGGTAATTCTTTGGTCCAGAAGCCTTCTTTATTCCGGAAATCTTTCCGGGTTTTTCTGCTGGTGCCATAACATGAGCAGGAGTTGAACGGCTTGACGAGGCAGCCACATTTTTAACAGTAGCACCCGTTCCCGCAACATTTCCATTAGTTTGGTTTTCATTCGTCATTTTTTTTCTGTAAAGTTGGAAACAAAACAGAACTTGGTTAAATCAGTGAAGTTTTGATATCTTCAAACTGAATACCAAACCAAACATACAACACGTAACAATGGTGAATTTTTTATATACTTCAAACTCGTACGTTTATTATTCCGGTAAAGTTTTTATATACTTTAAACCGGACAGCCCATACGTTTTTATTCCGGTAAAGTTTTTATATACTTTAAACTGGACAGAACAATTATTGGAGTAGAAAGCACGAAGGCTTTAGTCTCCAAAACAGTATACAAAATATGAATAACAGTTTAATATATGTTTCAACACAGAAACGTTAGTTTATAAATTCCTTAAGCTTGTGATCGCTACTGTGTTAAAACACAAAATCAGAAAAAAAACTGTTAGAAAAATAAAAGAAACTGAAAAAGCAGAGTTTAAGAAATATTCCGAGTCCACAATTTGCTTGTGTGTCCTTAAGTAATTTTAACCCCCTCACACGTTGCCAAGGTAATGGATTAAATCCTCCCAGGATAAAACGGAAAAAACCTTCCTGCAACAGTGGCAATACAAACTGCAGGATACCAACAAACTTAAAGAATGGAGCAAAATCACACTTACGAATTTGAGAGAGAGAGATTGCGAATTAGGATGCAGTATATTCAAAAAAAAAGAAGTTCTGGAGTGTTTTTCGTGTGTAGAAAATGGAGCCTTCCCTCAGAATTTATAGGCAATTATCAGAAGAGGTGTCTGGAAAAGGTGCCTTTTCAGAAGAATACGCTGCCTGCCGCGGTTCTACCGCGGTCGCGGCAGAACCGCGGTCAGAGAGGCTTTCTGAACCTGCCTGCCGCGGTTCTACCGCGGTCGCGGCAGAACCGCGGCCTGAGAGGTCCTCTGAACCTTCAGCAGGGTTCTGGAGTATTTTCATCAGTGATTTGGCATTTAATTAATTATTAAATAATTAAATAAATATTGTCCAAAAATAATCTTATCGATCGATCATTTGACAAATCCAAATCCAAATCCAAAGCCAAAGCCGAAGCCGAAGCCGAAGCCGAGCCGAGCGAGCGACGACGACGGCGCGAGGGTTCATTCTCTTCAACTCCTTTTAAGAGCTTTAAGAAGTGATTCTATATATAAGCACACAAATGTGGTTGTCCCTCACCAATTAGGGACAAAGTGCAAGACAAAAGTTCACTTCTTCAAATTTTCAATTTCCCTCCATTTTATTTCCCTCCATTTCCAATTCACACTTCTTCTACTTTAAAGCCCAATGGCTTAAAGTCCAACACCTACAACCCTAGTCCCCGACCTCCACACCCTCCTATCGAGGGCCATGTCCTGCATAATCACCTCACCCCAGTACTTCTTAGGCTACTCTACCTTCATTTTTTTTTTTGGGATGGGAGAACAAAAATAAAAGATTAAAACATAACTGAGAAATCTCCCTATATACGTTGACCTTGTATTGCATGCATGAGGGCCATATAAGTGTCAACTGCCTAAGTTAGAAAGAAAAGATTGAATTAATGACTTTTAGAGAACTTAAATGTAAAACTAATTGAATATTTACAAGTTACAATATAGTAATTAAAGGCAATAACAGTCTTAGTCGTCTCCATTTGCAATCTAGAATGCAAGTGTAAGGAATTTTAGCATTGAGACAATTCATCAGAAGTTGAAATTCACCTAATGACAACTTAATTACGCGTTTTTTTGGTCGTATTAATTGTTTAAACCTGAAATTGACACGAAAAAAGTCATGCAGAATCTTCTCTCGCTAGGTTTTCCCAAGATTAAAATGCTTAATTAATTAGACCGTATATACTTTCCCAATTGACCAAACAAATTAAAGATGCTCTAATATTACTTGTTTTATACGCACCCAACCCACCAAGTGCGCATATAATACCAAGAAAAGAAAACTTTATACATTCTAATCTTTATTATGCCAATATTAAGATGGTTTTCTAAGGGGATACATTTGTTTGGATCGAGGCATAGTTATTATAGTTATGCACATACACCGTGATCAGAGGCAGATCATGTGTAATGGTGAGGGGTTATCCGACCCCATAAACTTCGGCCAAAACCCTGTATATGTATAAGTGTATACTTTGAAAATAATTAATTTAAAACAGTCGACACCCTAAACATTAAAAGCCTTTACGGGCACTGGTTGAGTAGAATAATGTGCCCCGTCGCTTGAAAATTCTAGGTTCGCCTCTGGCGGAGATTACTTACTTGACAAGAGCATCCTTGCCTTTAAATAGTTTAATTCCCGTTAATTCACATATTTTATTTACTTTCTATCCCCCACAAAATAGTACATAAATTTCTTGTATAACTTAATACGAGTACTGTTAATACCGCCAATCAGATATTGCATTAATTATACGGTGGTTAGTTTTTTCTTATGCGAAATTTTATGTGGGATTAATTGCTCCAATACTGCAACCAAACGACCTCTAATAGGGGAGGAAAAAACATAACTAGGCAAAATTGTAGGAATATTTGCGGACATATAGCAGCATTATGTCTTTTACACATAAGGCAAGAAAATATTTATATTCCTAGCCAAAACCCCTTAAACATGATAAATTCAATCACGCTTCTGCTTTATATTCTTAAACGATTTTAGTTACATACTTCTACTTAATTAAGAAAATTAGTTATTACTGTCTGCCAATCTTCTTAGACGTAACTGACGCATTCCAATTATTCCATATGCCAATATAGTAATATATAAAGAGATGGGAACCATATAATTCGAAGCAAACAACAGAAAGATCATGTATACTTCTTCTGCCATGGATAACAGAATCACAATTTTGGTTCAACATAGCGGTCAATGGGATATGCAACACAGGTTTAAGAATTTTAGCGTCGATGGGGTGGTGATCAGTATGGAATGGGATTTTAAATCGATTCGTTCGGAGATATCAAAGATACTTGGAGTCGACGCACAAGCTGATACGATGGATATTGGATATTCCGTGAAAGAGAATTTTCCACCGATGAAAATATACGACAACAGGAGTTTGGGCTTGTACATGGAGTTGAAAAGCAAAAATTTATCTTTCACTGATTATCCATTGTGTATAACATTTAAAAAGCAGGATAACGATGGTACATGCGCGAATCCAGTTGTTAACAAGGCAAACTCCAATCTTTTTCAGAATTTGTCAATGGTTGACAATCTGGAAACGGTTGAATGTATTAATTCCGGAAACAAAGAGGACTATGATGTTATGTAGATCGATGAAGAGTGTATAATCGGAATCAGTACACATCAAGAGGTTAATGAAGGGCAACTGTACAAAAACAAGGATATACTGCAAAACGTTATGAAACATCTTGCAATCCGAGAGAAGTTCCAGTTCAAGGTTGATCGTTCAAATAAAACAAGGTACTTGTAAAGTTAACGAATGATTATATACAATTGTAGGATATGCTTTGTAAGTTGTAATTTAAAAATAATAGTGGTAATGTTTTCGAATATAATCTTTTCGAATATATTTATACTGCAGGTATTATCTTGTATGTGTGGATGATCAATGCTCATGGAATCTTAAAGCATCAAGCCTAAACACCTCGAATATATTTAAGGTGAGAAAGTTTGAAAAAGTTCACACATGTGGAAATAATTCCAGATTATTTTCACAGCGGCAGGCTACCTCTGATCTCGTTGGAAGTTTGATAATGAACAAGTTAGATGATCCAAAGTTGGAGTATACTCCAGCAGAAATACAACGTGACCTCAAGAGGGATTATGGAGTTGATTTGAACTATATGAAAGCATGGAGGTCGAGGGAAAAAGCTTTTGAAATGTTGAGAGGCAAACCAAGCGATTCGTATAATAAGCTGCCAAGGTTTTTGAATATGTTAATGCATACAAATCCTGGGTCAGTGACAAGGTTGGAAAGGTCAGATGACGGGTGCTTCTTATATGTATATGTAGCACTTTTCTCATCAATTAAAGGATGGGAGTATTGCATGCCTAATGTTGTTGTCGATGGTAGCTTTCTAAAATCAACATACAGAGGGACCTTACTAACGACTTGCACACAAGATGCAGCAGGTGAGTTGATGTAAACATTCATAGGTAGAAATTATTTCAAGTATAATTACACGTGATGTATAACTGTGTATAAATTATACCCTAAATAACCTGAATATTTTGATGGTATCACAGCTTCAACATGTAGTTTAGTATAAATCATGTATAATTTATCATATCCTCGTTTTTATCGAACAAATATTCTTTATCGTATTTGATATGTTGTATAATTTACGTTTTAAATAAAGTTAATTTTGTGATGTTCAATAAGGTAAAATATTTCCGCTCGCGTATGCTGTGGTTAATTCGGAGAATGATGCATCATGGGAGTGGTTCTTCCGGAATTTGCGAGAAACATATGGTATAAGGGAAGGAATGTGCATCGTATCTGACAGGCATGAAAGCATTTTGAAGGCAACATCAGTTGTGTATCCTGAAGTGCCTCATTGTGTATGCATATTCCATCTATGGAACAACATAAAGTTGAGGTTCAAGAAGAGCCAAAAGAAAATAAGGCCCTTATTTTTTGCTATGGCTAAAGCATACACAATTGAGGAATTCAACCAATACATGTCAGAAATACGTAATCTTGATGGGAGAGTTAAAGAATACTTATTTGACATTGGATATGATAGGTGGTCGGTAGCGCATTCAACGGTTAATAGGTCCATGGTGATGACATCAAATATTGCGGAATCCATGAATTCAGCGAATAAGGCGGCGAGGGATTTGCCTATCTACGATCTGCTTGACTACTTGATGAAGCTGGTTGCAGCTTGGAATAACACAAACAGAAACGGAGCACTGGCAACTGGTACAACACTTAGCACAAAGTATGAAATATTGCTAAGGGAAAAAATCATTGCGTCAAGAAGCATGCCGGTAAGTTAAATTGACATATAAGGTATAAAGTTAGAATATATACTGATATTAGAGTGTAATGTAAAAAATGTTATTATATATTTGATTGAATATAATATACTATGTATACCGCATATAATGAAATCATTGGTATACAACTTATACAGTGAAATATGGATTATCTTAAGCATCGAACAAAGCAGCAGTGCTTGTTTAGTTTTCTGGATATGAATTAGAAAGTCTTATCCTATCTGTTGCCCTCTTATGAAAGAATATTTTTGAGATATTTGAAAATTTTCTGCTTTGTTCATATGTCCACCATTCACTGGTATACATGCTTATAGTGTGAAACTCCTTCGAGATATATTTTGGAGTCATTGAAATACTTGTATGGAGCCATCAGCTATCTTTGAGTTTCAGATGCTAGAAAGTATATGCTGATCTTGGTTTTTGAGGAATCAATTACTACTGCTCTCTGTTTTTGATGATTGATGCGCCATTCTTATAATGCCCTTGTTGAATGTGTGCTGAAAACTGGTTTGGTATTATTTGGTATAATGTAGGTTACTCCATCAAATGAAGACCTATGAATTTCCGGTTTATCCAATTCCTGACGAAAGTCAATGGGAAATTCTTGAATATGTCTTAGGGGATGCGGTTAAGCCACCAAATGTAAGAGTTAAACCTGGCAGGCCAAAGAAGTCGAGAATCAAAGGTGCCGGTGAGTTCCAGGAAAAAAGGTGTAACATTACATCTGATTTGTGTGGACAACAAGGTCACAACAGAAAAACCTGCAGGAATCCTCCAAAAAAATGTGTTTAGCTCTTATGCTAGTCTGCTAGTGATATCTCTAAGGAGAAGCTTTGTTCAAGCTTAAACAATAGTATAATAAAAAAAAATGCATTATGTATTATGACAGATCGATTGGGATAATATAAATGTTGCTATTTCCATATTTACTTCTTATGTCTTCTATCAGTTGATTGAATATTGCCCTTGTGCAAAAATAAAAATAGATGGCAATGACTAAATTTGACGGCACAAACACATGGTTCAATTTTATCCATATCAGTATTTTATAGTTCTAGATATTGACTTCTCTGTATCAATAATTCTCGTTCATACATAGTTATAGATATTGACTTCTATGTATCAATAATTCTCGTTTATATGTTGATATATTTTCGACTGTAGTATCAATATTGAGTGGCATGAGCTGCCATGGGATTACAGTGGAATATGAGTGTGAGATAATTTTGCCCTTAATTGCTTTTGAGTGACTGATCTTCCATTGGAGGCACTAGTATATGGGAAGTAAGATACATTTGCTAACAAGTTAAAGGGAAAAAAATTTCAAATGCAGAATGTACAGTGATTGGGAATCCGAGGTTGTTAATGTTTAATATGGTAATGTGAATCGTAGGTTTGTGGGACAATACAAGCTAGAAGGTGTACACATGGAACAGATGTAACAGAGTGTTCCATCAATACTACATATATATAGGCTTGTTTTTGGTATATTTATATGCAACAGAGGTAATAGAGTGAAGAAACAGCTTATATGTTGGCAAAAATTTTTTTAACTGACTTCTGTTAAAGTGATGCTGTCGTAGATTAACGATTCTATACGGTATAATTTCACTGATTTACTTCAAAAAAGCTCATACTAATGTATGTTTGAAAATTCTTTTTCATATATAGGCTTCTTTTTGGTTTAGTATGAAGATTTGCAAAATCTGCAATCAGGTGAAATTTGGTTTAGTTACAACATGTTATTGAGGGTATAATTTATCCATAGATCTGTGAAATATTTGAAAAATTTACACCTTTAAAAAACACTCCTTATTAAGTGTACAATATATACATGTTATACATCATACATAATTATACGTGGAAGAAATCTATATTACCATACCTTTTGCTTTGTTGGTAGACAGAGTTATCACAATTTATCCAATACCATGTATTAACATATACTTTAGATACCAATAAGTGATTAGTCTAATGGTTGGGAAGTGCTATAACACTAGCACAATACAAATCTATATTTCATCAAGGATACAAAGCTGCTAACACAAGTAAAAAGACATCATGAAAGTATCATATTCTTCTGCAATTAGTAATCTGTTATATGAATAAAACATAAATTCCATTCATATCTTGACAGCATATTGCACTAGTACATTATTCAACTTCTCAAAACGTAATACTTAAAGATAGTTATAACCAAAGTACAGCTCCACTTGTTGAGTAAAAGAAAACATTATATGAAATGCATCTGAAAAAAACTAAAGCAGTACTACATGAGGTAGTAAAGCTACTAATTATTCATATCCGCACGACCCTTTTATTTAATTTTCATCGGGACTTCTGCTTCGCTGACGACTAGCTGTTCTTGCTTCATTCTTCCGTAACTCCACAATAACGATGCGAATCTTATGCGTTGAGCAGTTATATCACACATATTTTTTATCACACTTTGACCACATATGAAGGACTCCGCAAACATCGCCACAAGCACACCTGATTCGCTGCATTTTAAGCATACCAAATATTTTCTTTAAAAAAACTTATTGCACACTAAAAAATTATGTTGTACTCTAAAAGTATAATATACAAATATATTAATCATATGACTTACGCGTCTTGCTGCACCGGCAAACCATCAATCATAACAACATCAAATGGTTCTTCCTTTGTCTTATCCTTGTATGATCCCTTATTCAATTCGATATCATTCCTTTTGCCATAAAAACCAAGAGCGCACAAAAAGTATGGGATAATAACAGCATATGCGTCTACTACTTTGCGAATTCTGGATTTGTGAGATGCATCTTCCTTTGAGTCATAAAGAAATATGCATCTTTCTTTGAAAGACATTATTTCCAGTACCCAGTAATCATATGGTTCTTCCATCAAGAAATATGCATCTTTCTTTGAAAGACATTATGCACTTCAGGATACACAACTGATGTTGCCTTCAAAATGCTTTCATGCCTGTCAGATACGATGCACATTCCTTCCCTTATACCATATGTTTCTCAAGGACATCCATACTTGATTTCTCAAGTGTAGTTGGGAAAATATTCCTCACCTTCAACTAAGAAGTAATGTAGATTAACATTTTAACGAATATACAAATGTTTAATGTTTATTAACATGAAAGCAGTATCACTCAAAGTTAACCTTTTGTTCAGAAGTAACTTGTACGCTTCACTTGAAGTAGGATTACTGATCACTTTCCTAGCNTTAAAGACCTTAGCTTAATTTCCATTTTAGGAGTGAATTACATCTTTTAGCTTAATTGCTGTCAGCTGAAGTTTCAAAGGTTCATTAGAGTTGATTTCAAGTGGGTTTTTGAGTTTAATTGAGTCAATTTTGGATCAAATTGAGTGTTGTGTTGCTGTGCTATGATGCTGGGTTATTGCTGAAGAAATTTTGATTCAAAATCATCCTTGTTGCTGCTGTAATTTCACTGCTGTTGTGCTATTGCTCAAAGCTGACCTCAATTTTCCTTCTCCTTTTGATAAATTCCAGGTACACGATTTCAATTATGATCTGATGTAATTGAAGGAGAAAAGCTATAAAGTATTCATTATCCTGCTTCTGGAAATCACATCATGTTGGATCTAATGTGTCAACAATTAATTAGATATTAGACATGCTTGTTTATGTGCAATTTTGCCTTGTATTCACCATTACATTGTTGAATATCATTTGACTGTTAGTTCTGCTCGTGGACTGTGAATAGCATTTTTAAAAACCACTTAGACTGTTATCATTTGAACTTGAAGGCTGTAGTATTGCATCATTTGTAGTATGGTTCATTATAGGGAATGCTTATCTGATGTTGTAGTTATTAGCACAAAGTAAAAATTGATAAAAGTTTTTAGTAGTTAATTATTATTAGACTGTGATTGTAAATTCAATGGTCAAATCTAGTAAATTAATTTTCAGAATGTCCAAATTTGTAAGTTGAGAGTATTAGTTATAAACAGGTATTCCAATAGGCTATTTCACATGATGAATGGGATTGGTTGTTAATTAAAATTCCCAGTAACAATTGAACAAAACAATTAGAGTATAGGGGGGCTTGATCTTAGGCTAGCAACTGGACTGTCTGCGTGAGCTTAGGTTGCAGACACACCCGTGGGGATTCGATCATCCATCCCTTCAAATGTGGCCTGATTTAATCTATTTGCTTTGGGCCACCCCTAGGCCCAATTTGGAGTTATTAGAAATATGGTCTAGTGTGTGTGTACTTGTTGCTGAAATTCTGGAGAGCATTTTTTTTATAATATTTGCCTTGAGTATCATTTTTCCTTTGTTTAAATTGTTGAAAATTATCAAAAGTCATTAAAATTACATAGGTATATGGAAATTAATTGGCAAACATAAAATTGAATTTTGAATCAGGTAGCGGGTTCAAGCTAAAAGGGTTTTCCCTTTTATTTGAATTCGGACTTGAATTCGAGGCTCGAATTTATATTTGCGAATTAATTGGCCTTTTAGAGACAAATAATAAAATAAAAAATTTTAGTTTGCTTTAGGTTGACCTTCTAATAATAAAAAGGAGACGTGCCTCGCCGAATAAAACTACAAATTGCGGGGCCCTCAATAAATGCTATATAAAAATATTTAGAATTCGGGGCGTGCCATTTAGCGAATTTCCATGGCCTCCCGCAAAGATAATAAACTCGTAGTTGCTTTAGGCGCGTATTTTAATAATATTACCTTCCTAAATGTGGGTGCACATTTATGTGACCCAAATCCAAATCTCAACGAAGTTGAAATGTGTTGACAATCACGGGTGCACTGGTGCGACGTGGTTCGAGACGCGTTTTCACGACGTTGCAATTCTTATTAAAAATAACAATAAAAGCGGTTTACTAATAAAAGGCACATAAGTTAGAACATGTTCTGAAATCAGATAAAATCCATTACAACAGTTGAGCGACCGTGCTAGAACCACGGAATCCGGGAATGCCTAACACCTTCTCCCGGGTTAACAGAATTCCTTACTCGGATTTCTGGTTCGCGGACTGTTAATAGAGTCATAATTTCCTCGGTTCGGGATTCAACCGGTGACTTGGGACACCATAAATCTCCCAAGTGGTGACTCTGAATTTTAATAACAAATCCCGTTCTGATTGTCCTTTAAGTGAAAAAACTCCTTACGCCCTCGCGGGTGTAGCGAAAAAGGAGGTGTGACAACATGAAAGCAGTATCACTCAAAGTTACCTTTTTGTCAGAAAGTAACTTTGACGCTTCACTTGAAGTAGGATTACTAATCACTTTCCAGCTAAGTATGCGAGGAATCTATGCTGAACATACACAGCTATCTGATCCTTAGCTCGAGGACAGCATTCATAAAACCATATTTGGAATGACAATGGAAATCCATATAACCTAGAATATTTTTTTGATCTCTTCCCTCGAAAAGCTTTTCTCAACGAGCTATATGTATCGTTAAAAACCAATTTACCCCATGGGTAATTCTCGAATTCACCGGACTCAACCAATTCAAAATGACCAATTGAGACGGGACTATCAGGAAGTGATGAAAATAAAAAAGAATGTATGAAGTACAACACAGCAATCTTCACTGCATCATGATCAGATGACCATCTCTTTCCTTCAAAACAATCGATTATAGCTTGACTATTAAGCTTCTTAATTCCTTGAAAACAACGATCAATCAAGCCACAACTTTTGTTGTCATCATAACGTTTATGGGCTACACCGGTACATTTAAGACCGGTAACGAGTGCAAACTCACCAATACCAAAACGTATTTTACAACCATTCAAGGAGAGCCACAGTTCATCTCCATTATGATGAACAACCTCCCTCAACAATAGAGAGTGAATCAAACGAGGTTGCATACCTACTATTGGCAAATCAAGGAAGTATCCAAAACAAGTTTCTCTGAACCTTGCAAATTGTCTCGAATTCAGATGTTTCATCAATGTTTGAACAATGCAAATATTACTGGTGGCACCAATCTTCAATTTATAATGATCTTGTGGTTTGAAATAAAAATCCCAAACCTGCATTCAATAATAATATAAAATTATTGATTTAATAAGCATATAAGTGTTTCATAGCTTAAACAGATATATATTAGAGAAACTATTACACCAAATTAGAGGCAAAACAAATGGATATCCAACGTGAAATTCACTAAGCTATGCATATAGGCTTGTATCCCAAATTAGTATTTAAATTGGGTTTATTATGAAGGTTTCTAAGTCTGTAGTCATGTGAAATACATGTAAAG